ACAGTACTTTACGCATAAAAAGTGGTTTTTAAGAATTTTTGTCAAATGCTTTATAATATATATATATATATATATTTAATTAGGAAAAAGACAAAATGATGATAAAAAGACAAAAGTACTCTTTGGGTTAACCAGGTTACTCAATTTCGTTAGTGGGAGGGACTCATTCTCAATGCTTGTGTTTTTATATACAACAGATACCGAGATTATAAAAAGCACATTTGAGGGACCTTAAGAATAACAACCAATAAACCACAAGGACTTGGAATATAATTTAGTTATAAAATTATGTTTTTAAACTATATTATAAAGCATTTGACAGAAACTCTTAAAAACTATATTTTATGCATGAAGTACTGTTAATTGATACATACTACTTAAAATTCAAGATTCAAAATAAATTGTGCATAAGTACAACTTATTAAAGTTATATGTTTGAATTCGTATGACTAATTACAGATATACATAATCAAAAAGAGAATAAACATCTCATTTTAAAATATAAAAAATTTAACATATAATTAAGATAATCATTAAGTTGTAACAAAATACTTTATTATTATCTTTATAAAAAATTATATTATTAAATCAAATATAAATTACTTCGTTATCAAACCTTAATTAAATACTAAATTATAATTAAAAAAATTAAATTATAACACATAAATTATATTAAAGAAATTACAAAAAAATAGAATTTTTAAATAGTTAATTTGATACTAATATCGATATATTTTTCAAAAACTTTTATAATATCTTTAAATTTATATTTTATTCAGAAATAAAAACATTATCACTTTCTCAAAATCACATAAGACCGTATTATAACATCGATTGAGACAACGAATAAAACGAAACATTAAATCAAGATGCATCTCGCTATATTGAACGAATACTCTTTTAGTGTTTGCTTGTATATATATATATATATACATAGAAATTTAGTAATTAATTTATTTTGTTTTTTGTTTTCAATTATAAACCGACTGAGAATAATTTAATTTCTTTATAAAATAACTAAAATACGATAATTAATTATTAGTATTCTTTTGGTTGA